AGTCTATGGTTGTTGTGCGTCTATGTTTGTTGGGAGTCTATGGTTGTGCATCTATTGTTGTTGTGCATCTACTGTTGTTGCGTATTTATTGTTGTTGTGTGTCTACGGTTGTTGTGCGTCTATGGTTGTTTGAAAACAGCAGAACAGAACCTCCAGACCTCTGTTGTTGTTTTGTGTCTCTCTATGGTTGTTGTGTACCCGCCCCCCCCCCCCCCCCCCACACACACACACACCTTTAGGCCTCAGGCTCCCCTACAGAACAGAGACAAAGGAGGAAACTCGACCTGCTGCAGCCTGAACAGCCGCCTCTCCTCAGACCGGTTTTGGATTCATTTTAAACCGGTTTCACACGCGTTTCTGAACTCCTCTGAAACTGATTTTTGGAGCTGCTTTTAATCTGGTTCCGGGCTGCATTTTGGAGCAGTTCTGAAGCTGGATGCTGTGTGAGCTGATGACAGAAACATGGACCGCAGGTCCCGGCCAGAACGAGCCTAAAGCGGAGGAGACCGACCAGAAAGCGAGGACCTGACGCAGAGGTGGAAACATTCCAGCGAACAGGCCGAGCGGGTCGGAGCGTCCACAGCGGGGAGCGCCCACAAACAGCTCCAGCCAACATGGAGCCAGAAAGGAACCCGAATGGATCCAGAACCGGTCAGCCACCAAAATGAGGCCACCGTCAGCGGTCAGCCTCTAAACAGGGTCAGTGGTCAGCCTCCAAACGGGGCCACCAGTCAGTGTTCAGTTCCCAAACAGGGCCACCGTCACAAACAGGGCCACGGGTCAGCCTCCAAATGGGGCCACTGGTCAGCGGTCATCCCCAAAACGGGGCCACCGGTCACCAGTCAGCCCCCGAACGGGGCCACGGGTCACCAGTTAGCCTCCAAACGGGGCCACCAGTCACCAGTCAGCCTCCAAACGGGGCCACGGGTCATCCCCCAAACGGGGCCAAGGGGTCAGCCCCCAAACAGGGCCACCAGTCAGCTCCCAAAAGGGCTCAGCGGTCAGCTGCCAAACGGGGCCACCGGTCAGCTCCCAAAAGGGGTCAGTGGTCAGCTGCCAAATGGAGCCACCAGCCAGCCTCCAAACGGGGCCACCGGTCAGCGGTCAGCCTCCAAACGGGGCCACCCAGCTCTCTTTAAGCCCCCCCTGAAGTTTAGCTCCACTCCTCCGGCTCAGCGTTTCAGGGGGACAGCTTTCACTGCGACACACCTGTGGAGCAGCTGGATTTAAGGGGGGAGACCAGCAGACCAATCAGAGAAGAGGACTAGCTCTGACAGGTACCAGGAGCCCAGCAAACAGGTCTGAGCCCGCAGTCCAGGTTAGCCCCCCCAGGCAGAAACCACCTTGCAGAGCCAGACCGGCTCCGGTTCAGGTCTTACTGAGAAAGTCAGAGCTCAGACCAGGTCCAGGCTAGAATCTCCTCTGGTTCTGGTCCAAAGGGCTCCTCTGGTTCTGGTACAAAGGGCTCCTCTGGTTCTGGTACAAAGGGCTCCTCTGGTTCTGGTTCCGGTCTAGAGAGCTCCTCTGGTTCTGGTCCAGAGGGCTCCTCTGGTCCTGGTTCTGAGGCAGAAACGGACCCGATCCGCCGCCTATCGCTCTGGTTCCGGTCCAATCCCCCCCCCCACACACACACAGGCACACACACAAAAACAGAAGACGCGTTCACGTGTTTTCCGGCTCGCGCACAGACAGAAAGCTGCACCTTTAGAACAGGAAGCGTCTCCGGAGTTCACTTTCTGTCCGGGAGACCTGAGCTCACAGCAGGAGCAGCAAACTGCCCCCACAACACAGAAAAGCCCCCAAAACTGCCCCCCCCTCTCCTCGCCCGCGCGGATCTCCGGTCAGCCGGCGCGCGGCTTCTCACCTGTTTGCGCGCGGGTCTGCGGAGAGAAGGAGCCTCGTGCGTGTGTGACAGCGTCTGCGACCCGGACTGACTGAGCCGCTGCCTCTGCTGCCGCTGCGGGGGGG